GGGCCCAGCGGCGACAACGCGCGCCGCAGCCCCTTCTGGAGGCTCTGAGTACTGCGCCTGCCACTGCAGAGAGCGAGGGGGGCCCATCGGCGACAACGCGCGCCGCAGCCCGGCTCTGGGTACTACGCCTGCCACTGCAGAGATTCTGGAGGCTCTGGGTACTGCGCCTGCCACTGCAGAGAGAGAGGGGGGCCCAGCGGCGACAACGCGCGCCGCAGCCCCTTCTGGAGGCTCTGGGTACTGCGCCTGCCACTGCAGAGAGAGATGAGGGCCCAGCGGCGACAACGCGCGCCGCAGCCCCTTCTGGAGGCTCTGGGTGCTGGCGACAACGCGCGCCGCAGCCCCTTCTGGAGGCTCTGGGTACTGCGCCTGCCACTGCAGTGCGTGAGAGTGAGTGAGTGAGTGAGCGAGCGAGTGAGTGAGTGAGAGTGAGTGAGTGGGTTGAGTGAGTTGAGTGAGTTGAGTGAGTGAGTGAGTGAGTGAGTGAGTGAGTGAGTGAGTGAGTGAGTGAGCGAGTGAGTGAGTGAGTGAGCGAGCGAGCGAGCGAGCGAGCGAGTGAGTGAGTGAGTGAGTGAATTGAGTGAGTGAGTGAGTGAGTGAGTGGACGGCGTGAGTGAGTGAGTGAGTGAGTGAGTGGATGAGTGAGTGAGTGAGTGAGTGAGTGAGTGAGTCGACGGCGGGAAGGAGCGAGGGACGGAGGGAGGGACGGGCGGGCGGGCGGGCGGGCGGGATGGCAGCCAAAAAACTAGAACCCCACACAGAGATGTGGGGAAATACTTGCACAGTTTTCATAAGAAGATCGATGGGTGTGAGATGAACGTGAGGCTCAAAGGTACCAAAATACACTGTGGCACGGGAAGGGGCCCATGAACCATTACGGTGCTTGCCAGCACTGGAACGGTTCAACAGCATGGTATGGGGCAAAGTCTGAGCAGTGCCATCAAATGGGCGGTGTCGGCAGCGTTTCGACCCCGGATGTGATAACCTGTCAGCCACCGGCAGGTGACTCAGAGATGTGTGTCACTGAATCACAATCGATTGAATGGAGGGGATACAAGTTGTAGATTCGTTGCGAGACACCAGATCAGAGATGAGAGACTGAGAGGAGACTGAGAGTAGACTGGATTCGATGGGTTTCAGGGAATCTGTTCAAAAAGCATGTTGTTTTTTGTTTTCTTCGTTGGAGTGAATTGCTAGGCTTCGTAAAGCAGATGGGCTGTGTAACATGTGTTGTTGGGCAGGCAATTGGCCGACTATGTTTTGCATGGCTAGTGTTACAGGATGTACCATACAGATGCCATGCAGATCTATTCAGCAATGGGCCTTGCACGATCATGGGCATATGGTGAACCTTTGTCGTGGAGCTGAGAGTGCCTGTTGTATATCTTTTGGTTGAAATGCAACTGGACTCACTATATAGACTCTGTTTGTTGGAAGCAAAGTCAAAAGTTGGTTTGCTCTTGCAGCAAAACATTTGATGGGAAGCAACAAACTTCCCGGAGCGTGATTTCCAGTCCCTTTTCGTATCGGTCGAACATCACTTCTCTTGTTGTCACACACCCGAGAATTCATCTGTGCGCGAAGGTTATACTTGTTGGTTTTGGCGCATCACAAACCACTGAGTGTTTGTTTTGTTTTGACATCCACCTATGCCCATGCGCCCGCTCTGCAAACCAATGACCTCACGTTGAAGGATTTGCCTGTCCTAGGTCCTAGAGTTGCTCGATGACGTTCCTGTTTGCTTGCATGCAAGGGTCTTCAGATCCATGGCATGGTCCCGACCATTTGTTTGTGTATATACTCATCCTGAAGCACTTGATGTATACATAAAGTATGAAGGAACTGTCATATTGATTATATATATATATATTGTCCTTTTCAAGTTGGGATCTCAGCAAAATTGAATGTTATCCTTTAGTCATCATCAAAAGGTTGGGGCTTCGCAGAGCAAGATTGCTTTGGTGAAGCAACGCACCCCACTGGGATCCCTTAATGAACTCAATGTATATATATATATGTACAAGTATAAGTACTGCAAGTTTGTCTAAAAATCTAGCAGCCACACTTAGCCTACTAGGGAGGGGTGGAGCGGGCTCTAAACAAAAAGAAAACAGGTTGCACGTGTGGCCAATGGCCTCCAACCTAGTACAGTAGTGTCCTTGTTGCTAGTATTAAGGCCAGTGCCCCTAGTGGCGTTCTTGCTCCGTTTGTAGGGATGCCAAATCCCATGGATCCGAGAGGTCATGGACATGGGCTTGGTGGCGCACTTGGCATCCTTGAAATCCTCGGTGCCTTTTGTTCACTTCTTCGACGGTACGTCACTGGGTGATCGATGGTCAAGGGTTCTATCTCAGGGGATTATGTGTTTTTTAATTAAGGATTTTGGATCCTCCAACTTCAGACATTTGAATTTGTGTGTGAGGTTGCTGTTTCTTGTTTTTAACCGTTTTTGGAGTCCAGTCCTCAAACCCGCCATTCCAGGTTTTCAGTCGTTCTAGGTTGCAGCAGTCGCAAACTTTGTGCGTAAGATTCTGCAGGATAAACCTTATAGGAAAGGATCTGTTTGCCTGGTCTCAATAGTCTCTTGATCCACATCTTGGAATACCCAATGTCTCGACTTTAGTTTGAATAGGACCTAACTTTGCTGACCTAACAGAAGATCTTGACTCAAAGATGCCATACAACTGACGATCCAATGACAACTTAATGACAACACTACTCGTCATTCCGCGAGCACCGCTGGGCGGAGAGCATCGCTGCGGGGTACCACAGACCTGTATGCGAAAACTTGGAGAACACCTCAAAGAGGAATTATACAGTATATATTTTTTCAGGGAGTGTGCATGTTCACATAGAACTTCGAGTTCCAAAAGAACCACAAGGTCCAATCCTAAGGATACACTGGAACTGCACGGGATCTAACACCCTCGACCCTCTCAAGTTTGAAGAAAGCAAGGACACTGAGGTCAGAGTTTCTGCTTTACGTTCCAATGCGCCTTCCAAGGCGAACCAGTGGTGTCATCGAATGCGTGAAGCCCATCCCGTACAGCACCATGAAGAGCCTTGATAGCCTTTGGTGGTGGTGGCCAAGTCGAGGAACCACCAGGCAGCCAAACAATGAAACAAGCAATGTAG